ATGATGTTTTGTCAGTTTTATCCCATCTTCAAAATTTAATCGCCGACTCTCAATAAGTCAACCGTTGATGGTGGACTAGGCCCTAGTCTTCCATCATGTGCAACTGCGCAAAACCACAGGCAACCTCGGCAAGTGGACGATGCGCATTTGCGACTTCATGGTAGACCACTTGGGGGAATGGGAAACTTGTTAGCAGCAAATATGAACATTGTGCCGTAGCAAATATGTTGCCCTATGTTGTCATAAATCCCTTGGCGAATTTCCCATACAGAATGGATGGCTTCAAGGCCACTACAAAATTGGTTTTTATAGGTCATTTTTGTAGTGAGGAAAAAGGTCCAGGGCCCACTTCAACTTTGGCAGACCATGGAATTTTGTAGAGAAAATACCGGGGCCCATGGATGAAGATAGAAATTAGTTTCAAAAAGGGAATGTCCAAGGCCAGGCTCTTTGTAGTGAAATTACCGGATCCCATGGAGGATTCTTTAAAATTGGAGCCCCTGCATTTTGTAGTGAATCCGGTGGGTTTCTGAAAAACATGTAACATGTTGTGATTTTGCTAAAGTATTCCACGTGTAATTCAATGTTTTGAAATGCCGACAGGCCGAAATATCCCCTGATTTGCCTGGTTTTTGTTTCTCTATCTCTCTCTCTCTCTCTCTCTTTTTCTTCTCGCTCTTTTGTATGTGGCAAGTATATGATATGTTTTAAACGCGTATGTTATTTGCTGTATAGCCACCCCCCATCACGCCCCTACAAAATGACAGGTCTTCTGCCAGAACATCTACAATCTGGACTGGTGTGTTGTTGTTTACCTTCTTTAAGAAAGATCGCAACAATTTATAGTGAAACTATTCCCTTGCATGTCATGTCCCTACAAAATGACAGGTCCCTTTCGAAACCCTAAGCTGGAAAAAAGAGCTGCGGGCTGCGCATGTTCATCTGGAAAGGCATCGGAGAAATTTTCAAAAAGTCAGAAAGCGAAAAGTCAAAAGGTATACTTTTCGACTTTTCATTCTTTTTTTGTTTTTTTCGACTTTTCTACTTTTCTTCTTCCCTCTCAACGTTTTGACTGTTCTACTTGTCGCTTTTCTTTCTTAAAATGAAAGAACACTTTTTTTTTCAAAATGGACACGTCCAACTAAAAAAAAATAAAAAAGAAGTATATTTTTCGACTTTTCGACTTCTTCTTCCCTCTCAACTCTTTGACTTTACTACTTCTCGCTTTTCTTTCTTACATTTGTATACCTTCGCAATGAAAGAGCACTTTCTTCAAGATAGACACGGCCAACGAAAAGTTAAAACGTATACTTTTTGACTTTTCGACTTGTCAACTTTTCTACATGTCGTTGTTCTTCTCAATCTATCTGCAATATATTTGGTTATATACATTTATTTGATTTTATTTACACACATTATATGTATTTTATTATCTTTTAATATATTATATATATATGTTTTTGTATCATGGAACTTAGGGGGGTCTATGGGAGCGGTGTTTGGATAAGCCTGGATAACCCATGGATGAGCCATTGATTATTTTCCTCAAGATGTTTGAAGAGGTGAGCTTATGGTTATTCATTGCAAGTTTGAGAGGTATCCTGATGTGGCTCGAGTGGCATGGGCAAGGCTTGCTAGATACAGGCAAGCAAGGAAAAAAGGCCACTTAAATCTCCAGGGTTAAGTTAAACAATGTATTGGCAAACATATGCATGACCCATGAGTTCAAGATAGCAAAAAAGAAGTCAAAGAGTCACAGCGGGGAGGCGGCACCCAAGGTGGGCAATTTGTACGCAAATGGATCACTTGACCTGGATTTGGATGAAGAAGGCTTAATAAGGGCTTGATAAGGGCTTATCCACTGCTTAACCCGAAGTGGTGGATAAACAGTGGATAAGCAGGGGAAACAGCACCTATTTGACCACAGACCCCCCCGGAAAATGACCTTCAGAGCACCAAATTCACAAAACACATTTTAAAAAACACAGACTATATCATGACAAGAAACCACGCAAAATCATTCAAAATCACAGAAAACATCAAACGTCACGGAAATGAAACGCGAATCATATAAAAAAACAAATACCACCAGAATCACAAAAAATCATCAAACATCTGAAGACAATCGCCAAAACCCACCATTAGATCTCATATCGTCTAGAACAACAATTCAGCAAAGTTTACAATTTCACCGCGCTGGGATTGCCAGAAGCAATCCTCTTCATTGTTCAGATGTGGGGCTTACGTCGCCCACCAGCAGTGGATAAGGAAGATCAGCTATCCATGGGGAAAAAGACCTTAATCTGGCCTTAAAGGATAACCCCTTAATAAGGCCTGAATAAGCCCTTGTCCAGCCTTAATAAGACCTTAACAAGGCCCATCAAATTACAATTTATGCACAAACACACACATATATATATATGTGTGTGAATAGGCATTAGGCGAGGTTGCACCTGGATGTCATATGTAATTCATTTGGGATGTGCGCCGGTATGACATTGAGCCATCCCTCGCAGAAGGAGCGAAAATGACTTTTGGTGAGCACCTAGAAGAAGAAGGTCGGGTACAAGACCACATACACGCAGGTACTTCGAACCGCAGGCCATTCACAGGTTATCAGCCGTACGCTCAGCTGAGCGTACGGTGGGCCCACGTGGACGTTGTCTTCGGCATCTTGGTCTACCTGCCTGCCCTACTACAAGTCATTGGACTGTAGCAAACGGAGGTGGACAGCCGAAGAGTGAAAAGATGTCGCAGAAACCTCAATCAAGCAGCAACGAAAAGAGCTATTCCTTTGCACCTGCAGCTCCGGCCCAGGCGATCAGCGACACGCCTGGATCTGCAGAAAGCGGGGGCGGCGGTACAGTCACGTACCGAGCGCCTGGAAGTGGAGCGTCTTCAAATAGCTTCACAATGGTCAGTCGGACTGGTTCCCTTCGGGGGAGTGCCAACAGATCGACGTCGGCGAGATCGCATCGCTCTGGAAGAGCCTCTACTGCAGCTATCAGGGACGCAAGTGGTCGATGCCCGTCGGGCGCGGCCACGCGGGAGGGTGAGGTGAGCAAATCTGCAGCCTCATCCAAACGCAAGTCGTCTGGTAGCGCTGCAAGGAACGAGAGCGAGACTCGACTTCGACGTCAACTACAACACAACATCGAAAAGCTAGAAAGCAAGGACTGAACTTGAAAGCAGATTGAATTTATATCAAGATGCTCTTACTCATCGTGACCAGATGATCAACAATGTAGAGGTCTATTCTCATCAACATCATGAAGAATATCAGGAACATGTGAATTCTGAGATGGAGTACATGAGAAATTCCCTCATTACAGCATACCACCTACTGGTACTGGACGAACAATCCGATGCTCTGGCTGAGGCACACCTCACGGACGAAGGTTCAACCATGAGGATCTATGAGCTTGGACAACGTGGTGAACTTGCAGAAGCAGGCGCAGCCTACATCGTTCAGGAAAGTCTTGCTATGAGGAGACGGTATCATGATGAATTGGAGAATGCATCACGACACATTCGTGAACAACAAGAACGTCTGAAGTCGTGGCGGAACACTTTCGTCAGAACGGGCTACAACTTCGTGAAGCATGTGCACACTACGTCAATGAAAGGGAGATGGCGTACAAGGAAGAATTTTAACTACTAAAGCAGAAGCTGGAAGAGAGTTCACAGATGATGGTTGCCAACAATGAGATGGTCATGGAGTATGGTCAACAAGCTGTTGCACTACGTGATGAGCGGATGGCAGAAATGCAATCGGCCATCAACGAGCTGACGGCAAGTCTGGCTAGAAAAGATGATATCATTGCCACCAAGGACAGAGCAACACGGGATCACATCACGAAGGTTCGGGACATGACAAACATGGCTCACCAGAAGGAGGATGAATACCTATGGAAGAGGAATGAAGTACAGGTGGAGATCAATCATCTGAATGAGAACGAGATTGCATCGAAAGAATGGTACGAGAATCCGTTCACGGAGGAGAAAGCTGAATGTCGACAATTCAAGCACACTGAGCTTCAGGTACTCAAGGATAGGGAGCTTAGCTTGGAGGCAGGCAAGGATGAGTTTATGGACGAGAACGTGAAGTTGATTGAATCGAACACTCAACTCCGATCGCGGATCGCTGATCTCATTGGATCTCGCATCAACAACGTAGGTGACGAGGCCAACATCAGGACGATCGAAGAGATGAAGGATGAGTTTCACCGAGCGAACCAAGAGATCCATAGACTACAGGAGGGCATCGAGTCCAATCCCAACTTGACTGAGACACTTGTCAATGCAGAAGAAGAAGCAGAGAGATGGAAGAAGATGTATCGCTTGGTCTGCACTGAGCGTGATGCGGCGATCAGAAAGAATGCCGACCTGAGCCTATCACTTCGGGAAGCCAAGAAGGCTATGACTTCGATGTCAGCTTCGTCGAGCATGGCAGTGCCGGCAGTTCCTACACCAGCATCACCATCGACTCTGCCACTGACAAGCCTGTTTCCTTCGGCATCCAAAGCTAAGACCCCATCATTTGCACTATCTAGCTCAACACCTATGGTGACTCCCAAAGCTTCATCATTGACAAGAAGTCATGGATTTGCATTACCACCTCCTCGGAGTACAAATGTTGCCAATACCCACAAAGCTAACAACGAGATGGATGATCTTCGTGAGAAGCTTCGCTTGGCTGAGGAAAGGTCTCAACAACACCATGACGAGATGAAGGAGTACCAGAGTTGGTTACAACAGGTGGAAGAAGGTCAAGAGACGTTGAAGGGTAGTAACGGACCTGAATACGACCCAGTACCTGATAATCCACCCGGACTTTGGGACCGCAAAGATGGCAAAGATGCCAGCATTGCCAACAGTGACATTGGCCAAGATGGAAAGGATTGGCTTACTCGGATTTCGAGAAAGGAGCATGAGAGGGTCGTCGTCAAACCATGGCCCAAGTGTCAAGATCTTGATGTTGGCGATCGAACGTCGTACAGGCTGTCTGTGTTGCATCAGGAGATCCCGACACTGCTGCATGGAGAAGATGGCTGACTCCTGCCCAACTACCTGATCCCGACTATGCTGAACTCGCTGACTCAGGTGAATTTCGCTTTCAATCCATCGACTCCAAGTTATCCATTGCCTTGCAGAATATGGTGGATGCTGCGGGTGAAGTGGCATTCGAAGTCAGAGTCAAGATAAGGCAAAGGAGTCAAGTGCTTGGGAGAGAAGGCAATTTCTTGATGGGCAGGGAGATTTTGGCAATGATCCTCGATTTCAGAACGACATCTAAAGATGAAGTGTTATTCAATGCCAGCCACATCTACAAGTTACAATATCGTGGTGACAAAGAGATGGACAAGTTCCTCAACGCATGGATTGAAATCATTGCGAATATGAAGGTTGAGGGCATACCATCTGACAACACCTTACGTGATCACCTGTTGAGGAAGATCGATGGTTCTCAAGCGCTGCATGTTGACCTCACTATCTTCAGTCAAAGGTAGGGACAATGATGACAAGAAGAAGACCTACAAAGAGCTATTGGAGATCATGAAGAGACACATTGCTCGTGTGCGTGAGGAGAGGAACATTGCAGCAAGAGACAAATTTGCCACGGACTATGCTGACCTTGGCAAACCGACGACTCCTGCACCGAAGCCTGCCGCACCTACACCGGCTCCAAAGGACGGTAAGACCGGAAAACTGAGTGCTCCTGCACCCAAAGGTAAGCCTGGAGCTCCAGCTCTACCTTCCGGCAATCCCAAGAGTCATGGCAAAGGCAAGGGCAAGGGCGGTCGGAGATCTAGATCACCTTCTACCAGAGACCCATCGAAGACCTTTTGTCATTTCCGCTTCAACAAGGGTAATTGCAAGCATGGTGACAAGTGTCAGTACAGTCACTCGCAATATCACTGGGACAAAAGGAAAGACAAGGGTGGTAAAGGTAGAAATAGCAGATCAAGATCTCAAACTCTCGGAGGAAGGAGGGACCACAACTTCTATGGATGGCTGAAGGGCGACTGCAAGAAGGGTGACAAGTGTACCTTCAAACACGACCCCAGCATGAAGGGCAAGAAGGCTGCACCTTCAACCAAGACTACTGACGCTAAGGCCACTCCAGCGTTGGTCCGAGAGTACGATGACGATTTCATGGTGAGTGCGATGCCAAGTGAGAAGATGGTCAAGATAGATGTCAAATTCAATGAGCAGGTGGACAAGTTTGAGTACGTGAAGCCTGACTTCGTGGAGTGCTCGAATCATAGGCCAAGGAGAAACCTGTCAAGAGCTCAGAAACGGTCATTGACGTGCAGGGCTACTCAAGAAATCATGAACGACCAGCAATGGGTGTTACAATCTAAGTTGGGTATGACACGAGCACGTACAATTGGCATATTGATGGATGAGTTCAATGAGTTTTCAGACGTTGTTGGAGTGCATATCATCCTGGGCCCCAAGAGTGACATCAAACTCAAAATCAACAGCCATGATCACTTGGAGGACAATCCTCGTGCAGAGATGTGCTATGAGGAGGTCATTCCTCATGTGCCTGGGAAATATGGACGTCGTGACAACAACATCATGTGCATCACTATGCCGATTGAGCTCAAGGACAGACGTTTCATCATGGATTCTGGTAGTGGTCATGATCTCATTTCATCAACAAGAGTTGACCGGATGGACATTGACACATACCAGAGTTCAAGAGTCAACTTCCACACTGCGAATGGCATCACATCTACTTCAACTATGGTGGATTTGGACTTTGACACATTCAATGAACCTGCCAAGGCGCATGTGTTAGAGGACTCTCCATCAGTTCTCTCATTGGGAAAACGATGCATGGAACAAGGTTACACCTTTGTTTGGCCTAGTGGGAGAGAACCCTACATGATCAACTCCGAAGGTGATAAGATCAGGATGGAAGTTCACGATCTCATCCCGTATGTTTACCTCGGGGCCAAAGACTGTCGGCCAATGCCTGATCATGAGGCTGAGTTGGTTATGAAGGTGTTGGGTCTCATGGGCAACAGCACAGCTTCAAGGACGATATTCCTTGGTGGTGAAAGTGGTGACGAAATGTCTGAATCGGATGACGGAGTTGGTACGTACGTCGACGGGCCAACGAGTCTTCCGAGGAAGAACAAGAAGAAGAGAAGATCGAAGCGAAAGATAGTTCCTGCAGCAGCTGGTGAAGAACATGAGGAAGATGATGGTTACGAACCTTCCATACGTGAAGAGAACCCGGATGAGGAGGATGCTTACGTTGATGAAGTCCCTGGTCATAATGAAGATGGGGACGATGATGATGATCGAATCCCAGCAGCTGATGATGACCCAGAAGTTGATCAACCTGATGAAGATGAAGTTGGTGTTGAGAACGGACCACATGAAGAAGAAGATGATGAGGATGATATCGATGTGGATGACCCTGATGGAGGAGTACGACTATCAAAGAGAGGTACCTTGAAACATGAAGCTCGTACCCTGGAACACTTACTGACACATCGGTACAAGAATCCGTACTGTGACTCTTGTGTGCGGGCCAAAATGAAGCACCACAAGACCTATCGAGGTTGGGCTATGACACGGTCAAGGAGATTCTTGTCATTCGTGACAGGTTTACCGGCATCATCCAGAGCTACCCCTCTCCGACCAAGAACACTGAAGATGTGGTGAGAGCGGTGAAGTACTTCATGGGTAGGCGAACCATCAGGGAAGCCTACTCCGACAAAGCTAGACAGTTTGTCAAGGGCATGGAAGCACTCAAAATACCTGTTGATCATGCCCTTCCGGGAAGACCATCTACGAACTCCCTTGCCGAGCGCAACAACCAGTTCGTCATTGCAACAACTACCACATGCCTACTCGAGGCTGGGCTACCAGCGTGTTTCTGGAAGTTTGCCATACGATTTGTATGTCATCTACTCAATGTGGAGCCTAGTGAAGATGACGTGAGTGCATGGTGTAAGCTCCATGGCGCCGAGTTCAAGGGCGACAAGATCCCATTTGGTGCTTTGGTTTACTTCAAGCCGAGTGGAGCTAGAGCCAATGAACAAGCTCACAAGTTTGATCCCAAGGGTATCCCTGGTGTCTTTGCTGGATACGAGATTGCCCCAGGCATCAATTGGCGAAGACAATATATGGCTTGGGCGTTGTCGGACATGACGAAGCAGGACTACTCCTTCAATGCCAAGACTATCATCGACAAGCTACGCCATCCACACCTCACTGAGAAGATCGAGGTGCATTTGCCATTGACGTTCCCATGCAAAGACATCTACGAGAAGGTGAACACTACGCTGGAAGGGTTGGCTGTGAAAGACCGTCTTGAAGGATCACCTGATTTCCTTGAAGATCAGCAAGATGATGACGACGATGATGAAGACGATGATGATGGAGATGGAGGTGATGATAGACCTAAGAAACAGAAGACCACCAACCGTGTTGAGCTTCAAGAAGAAGAGTTCAATCGCATGATGGACGACATGGACATCAAGCTCGACAAGGAGAAAAGTGATGAAGCTGAAGTTGTTGGTGAACCTCCCGTACCTCCTCCTGATGGCGAACCTCCGTATGATGGACCTGAACCATCACTCTATGGGCAGACCTGGTGACGGCATTATCTACCTCAGCGACATTGGCGAGCATGTCAAGCTCGACAAACGAGGACGACCCTATCGAGTTGGTCCTGATGGTCGCAAAGAAGTACGTGGGTCACCAAGGCCAGTTACAGTCCTGAAGAATGGAGGGCATTGCCCGCCAAGGAGAGGGATGTCATCATTCGTCGTGGACAGCTAGAAGCTGAGGCCGAAAAGCTCAAAGAGATCAAGTTGAAGAAGGAGAAAGAGAAAAAGGCCAAAGCCGAATCTGCCGAGAAGAAGAAGTCCGAAGCAAATTCACACAAAGATCCACCCAAAGATGGAGGACGAAAGAAGAAGAAAAAGAGTAATAGAGAATTGAAGGAGAGCTCAAGCAAAGATGGCAGCAAGGACGCTGCTGTTGGCGTGGGGACGCTCCGAGGGGATTGGATATGCATTCCTGCGACCCATGAACCGAGGAAGTTGAACCATGTCGAGGATCATGGCGATCGGGCATGCTCAACAGCGACCCGTGATGCTAATGGTCTCATCAACTTCAAGAAGTACAACAATGTCTCTCCTGCAACTCCCAGGGAGACGAGCACAAACATCCCGAGTGATGATGATGGTCAATAATTCCTGAATGAATGGGATGAATAGTCAGAACATGAAACTGGTAAAGGACCAAAAGCTCACTGGGAAGATGTTCACTATGACTTCAACACTGGGAAGATCGTGTTGCTTGCTAAAGCTGCACCAACGGCTTCTACCTCAAAAGACTCCGACGGCAAGTCCAAGGTCGACCACTTCGTGAGTTCGATTCCTTGTATGCCTTGTGTTCATCAAGATCTTGAACATCGCGAGAAGTCCAGATGAGGTTTGGGAAGATGTACAACGCGATGGTCTCACGGCCAGTTGGCCGCAAAGAGATGATGGAAGACCCGGACGCCAAGGCTTCCATGAGGAACGAGTGGTTGGGACAGCATTAGCAGGGAGTGTACGATTTCTCCATTGTTCGTGAATACGATGATGCTGTGGCAGAAGCCAAACGTGAAGGTAAAGAAGTTCATATGGCACGAGTTCACGGCATTTGTGCCGAAGGGGAGCCCTGGACGAAAGTTCAAAGGTCGAGGCGTTCTACTTGGAAACCAAGTCAAGAATCAACACTGGGAAGCCGCGTTCTTTCAGGACCTCGGCAATTCTCCAGCAACATTTGAAGCCTCCCGATGGGCAGATTTCTATGGTTGCATCCCCGGGCACAACGTGAAGCTGGCAGACGCCATACAGGCGTATATACAAGCGAGGCTTACGGGACCTCCTTGTTGGGTCGAACTCCCCGAAGATGCATGGCCTGACGACATTGACATCCGGAAGTTCAGAAGACCGGTAGTGCGACTTGTCAAAGCAATTTATGGTTATCCTGATGTGGGCACGATGTGGGAACAACATTGTGACACACATGTCCGTGAAGTTGGGTTTATGCCAGTTGGGGAGGAATGGCCATCAATGTATTTCCATAAGGAACTCAAACTTTTGTTAGTCATCTATGTTGATGACTTGAAGTGAGCTGGGCCAGCACAGAATCTCACCAAGGGATGGGAGATGTTAAGGTCTAAGCTACGAATTGAACCTGAGACCGATTTGGGTCTCTATCTTGGTTGTTTGCTAAGCAAAGGAACAAATCGCCTGCATGACGGCACAGGTCACCACTATTACCTACAATATGGAGGGTCTCCTGAAACTCTCCGTTGGAAAGTATCTTGAACTTGTGGGGAAAGATACAAAGTTAAGACAAGTCTCAACTCCTAGTCTCCCTGAAGAGACCAAACAACATAAGTCGCACGCACCAGATCCCAAACATGCAGTTCAATGCCCCTGGTGTTCTACAAAATTTGATCCTGGATCGTCGGTTGCCTTACAGCCCGATGCCTCCGATTCTCGGCCGGAATCTGTTGAAGTCCAACGAGGTGCACTTGCCCCTCATGCTGCTAGCATCTTGATGAAGCTTTTGTATGCAGCAAGGATCGCCCGATTTGACTTGTTGAGATCAATCAATACATTAGCACGCAATGTGACGAAATGGTCCATTCAGGATGATGCCAAACTATACCATCTGATGTGCTATGTCAACTCTACCTTAGGGAAGAGAATGATTGGATGGGTCGGAAATGACATGAAAGATCTATCCATTGCGTTGTTTGCAGATGCTGATTTTGCCGGATGTGCACAATCATTGAGGTCCACTTCAGGTTCTCATATGCCTATTCAGGGGAAACGTTCTCGGTTTCCATTAGCTGGTGGAAGCAAACGCCAGGGGTGTGTGAGCCATTCTACACCTGAGGCTGAGATCGTAGCCGCTGATGTAACCCTTCGAACAATGGGTCTTCCTGCACTCAGTATTTGGGAAACGCTTACAGATTCATCTCCCAAGTTATTGTTTCATGATGACAATCAAGGGATGATTGGTGTGGTTCGTTCTGGAAGAAATCCAACAATGCGGCATTTGGAAAGGACTCATGGGATTTCTATCACGTCATTACATGAGCATTTCAGCAAAGATCACTTCGTTCTCATGTACGAGATCACAGCGAAGATGGCCGCGGACATCCACACAAAAGGTTTTACAAACCCCCTGGCCTGGAAGAAGGCTTGCATGTTAATCGATCTTTTGGAACCCGAAGACCTTGGTTCGAAGCAATTGGCAGACTTAGTGCAGCCTACCACTACAGTTCGGCAAGTTTTTCAATCAAGGACAGATGAGGTTCCCAACTTTCCATACACTGAAACACCCATACTGCCACCTGAGGTGTATCGTAAGGGTCTTTCAAGTCGAGAAAAACTTCAAGAGCTACCTGGTATGGATCCCATATTTGTGGTCAAAACTCCTACGTTGTTCAGAACAAGACCAGCTGGTGTCAAGCTTCCTGCAGATTGCCTTCGGAGCACCTGGATCATCCTGGATCTTAGTCCATGGGAAGTGGGAGCAAGTAGAGGATCGCGTTCCACCTTTGTTACAACAATCACGTTTTGACAAATGGATTGAATGGGCATGTTTCCAGTACCATCACCCCACTTCCGCTCCGATTGTCTCACTGCCCGTATGCGTATCCGCGGCGGCCAGTTCTCGGCTCCAACGTACGTACGACGTCGGAACTGAGCAATCCGAGCCTCACATTCAGTACTGAAATTCTCTTTGAACAAGCTCAACGTCATCTGAAGATGCCGTATTCATTGTACGAAGGGAATCCCATGACTATTCGGGTGATCAATGCCCTGGTATGCCTTGTTCATGGGGGGAGAGGCATGGAGGATTCGAAACAGTTCAAAGATCCCAAGAATTTCAACAAATCATTTTCAGAACTGTTGAAGTTGAAAAAGTCGCCTATACGGAGAAGGAATATCAAGAAAATAGCATCAGCAACGGAATGTGGTCAAGATGAAGTACATGCTCGTGATGAATGGAAATGGGTAGGAGACCATATTTTGGAAAGGATCCACAACGTACCAAGAAGAGAGATGTTCGTTCCAAGTGATTGTCATGATTGTCCGTGTGATCATCGTTTGATTCAAGATTGGAGGGAAACTCAATTGAAGTTCCAGTCGAATGTGAGGATGGACAAGAGTAATTGGCGTCTCCCTGGTAACAATGGAGAAAGGTCAAACAATCGAAATGAGTTCTGGACTGGAAAGTCTATCTTTCGTGTTCTGAGACATCAGGAAGTTCTTCCGGTTGCGAGTTGCATTATGGATGATAACCTGATGGCTTGTGTCAACACCAAGGGTCTGGACATCATTTCTCACAACACGATATTTATTCCTCACACTTATCGGATGGTGATCGATGAGAACGGGAACAAGAATGAATTGAATATATTTGCGGACAGTTTGATCAATTTGGTATTGGTTCGTGACAATGGGCAATGCGTGAAGTATTCGTTCTTCAGATCTATCCATGACCTTGACAATACAAAGTTTTTGGGAAAGAACGTTACTATTACAATGCAAGAGTTGCCCGAAAGTACACCCACGATGGTATTGATGTGTGCCGAACCGTCGAGTTTGATGACAAAGAGGTACAGAGAAATCATGGATACATCTTTTCAACTGGAATTGATCACAGAGGATGATGACCTTCTCTCCTGCAGATATGGGAGTGCGAAGTGGAGGAGATGCCTCCGCAGCAACAAGGACTGCGTCTTCTTCGCTGGACCGTGCACGGGCGGATCTCCGTAGAACAGGCTGAACAAAAGGGTTAGCAATGCAACAGCTCACGTGATTCATGCCAAAGCACGTCTCTACTGGAAGTTATGGGGAGAGTTCTCAACATGTTTATTGAGAGTGATCGAATTGGACGCCATGGCCTTATTGGAATTACCTAGAGGTTGTGACTACTGGAATGATGAGAGGATGAAGTGTATGATCAACGGCACGGACTCATACATTCATGACTTCCATGGGTGCATGCATGGTCTTACAACACAGTTTGGTGATCAACGTATTCCAATCAAGAAGCCATGGAGGATCGTATCAAATTTGGTTTACACAAGAAGTGTGATCGGAAGCATGATCATGGAAAATGTGAAGGTCGAGAAACAAGAGTTACACAGACCTACACCAACCAGATTGTCGACATCATTCTCAAATCAGTACGTCGACACATGTCTATTCGGTTCAAGGAGTCGTTGTCGAAGAAGGACGATACATGCAGCAGTTGCAGGCATGATAGACGTTCAGCAAAGAAGACAGCGGTTTCTATTACCTATGACATTGATGAGATAGCAGCGGATCTTATGTGATTGATGAAGTACCATATGAGTGGATGTCCAATCAATGCCACAGCACCTATATCTCAGGATACCGAATGATGGAGGATCAACTGTCCACGACTTTTCCGACTTCCTCCTCACTGTGCATCGCCGGAAGGGTGATCGGAAACCTGTGTGTGCACAGCAGGGAGTACGTGATCCCTGGGTGAACGGAAAGCCGAGTGCTAATCGGCATCGATTAGTACGGAATCCCTCCGGGACGACTGCCATGTCGAACTACACGGCGATCCTCGGCTCGGCACAGAATGACATCAACGCCATCCACGAATCCTCGTGGCATTGCGGGAGAATGGAAAGCATGGAGTCATCCCTGCCACGTACAAGGAGTATGAGCCGTCGAGCAGCAGCTTGCCGGACAGCACGGTCGATAGGTGGCATGCGATCGGGATCAGCCCAATCGCCGCAGCATCAGCTTACTTCCTGGGCGAGATACCGTCGAATCGATCCGAAGTGAATGCCATCACGTTGTCCCTTCAGGTTCTGGAGTTGATCAATGGAGCTGAACCAAGGGGCCAAACGCTTCTTGGATAGATGCACAACCTACATGAAGACCTTTGTCCAACTGGCATCTCGAAGCAATCACAAAGTCCTTGGATTTTGCACCACTGAATGCATCAATAGTTTGGGAAACATGTGGGAGCACATCAAGAACTTCCACGTACCTCATCCCATTCAGAATGGCGCAGCGTTCACTGTGTCCATGCTACGAGATCATCTCCGAGAGTTCAGACTTCGACCAAATGGTGGTGATCTACGAGGTGTGAATCAATCGGTGCCTGCCGAGAATACATGGCTGAGTGCGACGAGAAAGAGGGACGACCCTGAAGCACCCATTGGCCCATTACCATCTCATTCAGGGCAATTCACCATGAACTCCACTACTTCGACATGGACCCAAGCTGGGAGACAAAAGGGACTCAGCAAATGTTCAACGCAGCCCTCGATGAATGGCAACGTCAGGTTATGCATTTGGGACATGCATGGAGATGCTACAACCAGAAAGTGGACGATGAGGGCGAGAACGTTGAACCCATGACATTGGAGACAACGATCACTGACCTCATCGAGCAGAACACCAAGTTGGGCTGTGAGCGAGCAGCTGCGGTGAATCATTTCACCTCCATCTTGGCTCTAGCTCCTGTGGTCTACAGATGGAAGAAGAAGTTGCCATGGTATGTCAGTTTCTCCGCGGTTGCAAGGGAAAACATGGCCAAGATCGATGGGTATATCGGGCGAGTTCAACAGTCCTTGATGCTTACGCCCGAGATCTTGGAGAATCATGGCTACAATGTCGAAGAGGGCAACCATGAGGAGATCAAGAAGCGCAACAAATCCTTCTCAGCCTTGAGGGAATTCATGACAACCCTCACGGAGACTCAAGCTGGAGGAGGACAAACTGGAACACAAGTTGCCGCGAGTGGATGGAAGAAGGTGTTGAGATTCGGAGACGGCGTTTGGCCGCCAGAGCCTCCAAGGGGACAAGTACCAGAATGGGTCACGATCTCAGACCCGACAGTGCCAATGCCGAGGGTCAACAGATTTGTGCCCAAGCAACCTCCTGGACCACCACCTGGGTATAAGGCTCCACCACAGCCTTATCCAACACCGCCACCGAAGGCAAGACCGACTTCTCCAACAGCACCACCACGATCAAGTGCGGCAGGATCACAGTCGTCTAGCTCGGCTGGACCTCCACCACAAGCTGCGCCCAAGCCGGCAGCAAAGTCGATGCCAACAAGGCGCGACATGCCTGAGACTGAATATGTCCCGTCGCTGAAACCATTGAATGCGGTTGCCTACAGCAGGATATTGATGGACTACACGGGCACGCCGGTGAGATCAGCGTTGAATGCTCATGAAGGCACCGGGAACGAGCTCGCTCTGTCAGACCAGTGGCGAACAGTGCTCAATCCACGTGGCGACAGTATCTCAGGAGAGTGGCCACATACACTTGCCTATGCTTTGGACTCGCAAATGCTAGGGAGATTGCAGACAAATCCTACACCTTCAGTGACCTCGAATGGCTGAGAATCTACAATGCAGCCGTGAAGCGTGGGGGCATGTTGCACCAAAACTACTACCTATCAGTCGGGTCGATGACGGTCATGGTCAACATGAACGATGACATGCAGGCAACGGACCGTGAGTACGTGAAATGGAAACGATGCCTGATGTCAGGCATCGGTGGAACCATTGTGGAAAGACCATCGGTGCGCAAAGAGAAGGATGTTTTGGCAGGGAAGTTCCGGTTTGGCAAGACCATTCTGATCACGGACCTCGTCTACAAGTGCAGCTCGAATGCAAGGGGAATGACCAACATCCAGTATGGGCTCGATGAGATGGGCTATGCCATCACGGTCATCGACATCAACAGCTTCAAAGGTGTGACCAAAGCCCAGAAATTCCTCAATGCAGTTGAACACTTGAAGAGAAACGTGATGCCGGACATCGCGGCAGAGGAGAACGTGACGATCCATTTTTGGATATTATTTTCATTTCTCATCACTGACCACCACCCATATCATGTGTGGGTTGAACGAAACTTCACTGAACGACTGGCCGAGGCAATTCGAGAAGTCGACAAGATGGCGACGAGACCAATCTTCGTGTCGCTGTGCAAGAACTCCAGGTTTCATGGTATTCCATCTGGTATCCAAGACATTGCTATGGACACGGCAGACATCTTGAGAAGCTTTGGAATCATGGTCACCACTGGTGATGGAATGTGGAGATTGATGTATGGTCATGCTGGCAACCACTACATGAACAACCACCAAATGCCAGATCGACTGGGAGTTTTCGCCACCATTGAGAAATTCTTGTTCAGACAGCGGGTACTGTTGATGTGCTCTCTGAACGTCGAGGCTTCAAAAGGGTTGAACGATGTTGAACGACATGGTGAAGGAATCCTCCTTGAAAGTCGGCATCAATCTGGAGCTCATGGAGAAGGTGCTCAAGGAGCCCGCAACGGTTGGTATCGGAACCGGAGGTGGAGTTCCTGACGCTGCAAGCGCTGGAACTGATGGCCCAGGTACGGTTGGTGGTGGAAGAAGAGTCAATGTGGAATACGAGAAGGCGCCATGGATTGAGGCAACGGTGAGATCAGTGTTGCCGGAAACTTCAGCCAACATGTACGACATGTGGTTCTACGTCAATCATGGGCGCGATGATGTGATTCTATGCCAACAGCATTTCAATGGATTAGATGATGAAGTGATCCCACACGATTTCATGAACAAGGACCTTGGCAGTGGGAAAGAGTGCATAGCATGCCGAGCCAGTGAGATGTCGAGGGACTATGGTCTGCGGCCTCCAGAATATCAACGAAAGATGATCGTCAAGACGGCCGCAAGGATCAGAGCGTTCTTCAACATCATAAATGACGAAGGCACTGTTGTGACGGACCCACAAAAGGACTTCGTTCAGTTCCTCAAGGACATCACCCGCGCAATGGTGGGTAACAAGGGATGTGAGCATGGCGAGATCCTGATGAAGGCGCTATCGCACTTCGGAACGGTCAGAGTTCCCAGGGATCGCGTGAAGCAGATCTTCACTGGAAAACGTGGGAGACAATATGTCGTTATTCGAGAAGAGTTCCCATTGGAGACCGAGAAGGGCACATTCGAACGATTTGCATATCGTGTCTCCAAAGATTATGGAAACGTCTTCTACAAAGACTACCTCAAGATGGTGCTTGGGAATGACTTCGGTGACATTATGGGTTACCCCGACCCCGCAGCCGAGAAATGCGGCGACGTGGTCGAAATGTGGCTCGGTATGCTTGACCTTGCCAACATGACGAAGTCACAGATCACGTTCATGGAGAGGAAGGCAGATCCGGGTGAGCTACTTGCAGGCCTGGAGGCATCGCTCACAACATCTTCCATGGAACGACAAGATCGACAACAACTCCCAACACCAAGAGAGGCGGGTCAAGGATCACTGAACCCATGAACCATGAAGAGGCTATTGTGAACAAGATCCTACGCGACATCCCAATGTGGCACAGTTTCGAAATGCCTGTCTGATTGAGGAGAAAGAGATCGGCATCATCTGCGAGAACTACAAGAGGTCTATGGCCGATGGACCCTATGATGATGACATGGAACAGGAAGGTCACGGAACCGGGGCAAACACATCTGCGGCCCAGGGACCAACGACCGGGAGTGCGGGAGCAAGTGCGGAAGGGGCAAGCACATCTGCGGCCCCGGACATGCACGACGCGACCAAATCTCCATCCAACCCTGAGGAGGAGTTCCAGATCTCACAAGACAAGGGAGCAGTCATCGAGGCCATCGACGCACTCTTTGCATTGGCTGACGACAACAACGTTTGCCTGAAGTGTGGTGAGAACGGACATCCCAACTATGAATGTCCAACAAAAGGTGTGATCAGGTCAAGATGGCATTGATTAATCTGAGGAAGAAGCTCCATGGGCGATGAAGTCGAAGATGAGGAGATGACCAAGGAGCCCGAAGACAAGGGACAGGAACATTTTCAACAAGAAGGTTACAAGGCCACCAGGGAGGGAGAGTACATGTACCTCCTTAATCCATCCCACTATCAGTGATCGGTGATCGAGCACATGGTGAGAAGAGTACCAATGGAGTGAAAGTCGTTGAGAAGGGGCCGTTGACGAAGGATGAGCTGAACCACATCGTCGGCACGGCGAGCCAAAAAGGAAGGGAGGGGACTGTTGTGGCCGCCTCTTTTTTAACTATTGTTGTCAAGTTTTTAATTAACCATGAACTATTTCACTGGGAAACCTACACAAAAAAGTCATGAATAACTCTTGAACCATTGTTTAGCCAAATGTCTTGCAATTTTATTTGGTAAGTTCCAGGCAGTCTTGACAAATGTCATGGGACACATATGAAATTATTTCGTGAGAAACATTATTTGCAGCCTTTACCAAGTTTTGAAAAGGATCTGAAACTTTAGCAGCAATGGCCCTCAGGTTCATTTCATCAAAGTATCTTTGGTTCAGTTAGTGGTCTGCCTAAAAGGTCTTGCATGTGTATATATACTTTTTCTTTCTAAGTTGTCATCCTTGAAAATCACAAATTTTCTTGCAGCAGCAGTTCAAAATCTCAAGCTTTCAGCTTTCCAGGCATGTCAAAATCATTCAAAATCTGTAGATTTTTGGTATGCAGTTTATATGCAGTTTATATGTAGTTTATATGCAGTTTATATGCAGTTTTCAAAACTGCATATAAACTACATGTAGTTTGGTCAAAACTGCATATAAACTACATGTAGTTTTGAAACTGCATATAAACTGCATATAAACTTCATATAAAATTTATATGAAAATTCAAGGGCTGACATGTGGTTTTTAAGGATTTTGATTATACATTCGGACTTGGTTCCACTGATTCCCAAACCTTTGGACACCAATATGGACATATAAAATTCATAGTGTGATGCAATCAAAACTGGCAATGCCAGCAACTTGTTTCCTTTCCCAAAACTTTGAAACAATTGCAAGTGCAAAGGCCCAGTGCACTTGTTTACAAAAATGATTTGAAGAATCATAAAAGGTTATTTCTGTTCACAAGTAAGTAAGCATCTCTAAAGATCCAAGATCATCATATGTAAATCTCAAGTAAAGAGGTTTCAAGGAACCATAAAAGATTCTTTTGGCTCACAAGGAAACATCTGTACAGGCCCAGGATCATCCCCTACACATGTAAATCTCAAGTAAAGATGCTCTAATATACCACAAAAATCCAAGAACATCACATGTAAATCTCAAGTAAGGATGTTTTAGGCAGGACAATACAAGTTTCTGTTTGTGCTCACAAGTAAACATCTGTACAGGTCCAAGAACATCACATGTAAATCTCAAGTCAAGAGGTTTTAAACAAAACAATAAACTTCTTTGTATTCACAAGTAAGCATTTGTACAGATCCAAGAGCATCACATGTAAATCTCAAGTAAGAATCTTTGGAGGAAACTGTCAGTGAACATATAGAGATTGAAGTGCTAGCTACTATTGGAAAAATGTATATGGAAAATCCAAAACTGTTTCAAGTATCCCCAGGTTTTTGCCTGCAACAAAGAAGCATGTTTCAAATGTTATGGATGCTTGGTCCCAAAATGGTAAAAAGACAATGATATGATCTTTACATGAACCTGCGCCTGGCATAAAGTACTCAGGCTTTGTTTGGAGGTCACTTGATGGATCCTTAATTGAAGAAACTTCTATGTGCCAATCTTTACTTGTGGATTCAAACAATATGGTATATATTTGATGGATCCTTACTTGAGGAAACTTCCATGTGCTAATGCTTACTTGTGGATTCAAACGACATGGCCTATATTTGATGGATGAGCAGGGAATATAGAAAATTAGCTAACCACATGTTGGAAATTAGTAGTTAAATAGATCTGATGATCTTAGATTAATCTGGATTAATCTGGGACCAAAAAAACCAAAAAAAAAAAAAACAATGTTTTGGAGACTAGTCTAAAGATAGCCCTGATCCAAGTAGTCCTGAAAACATTGTTTTTTTTTTGGTTGTTTTTTTGTTTTTTTGGTCCCAGATTAATCCAGATTAATCCTTGGGGCTTGAACAGATATCAACACACAAGTTATCGGAAGGGAATGTTGTGACACCCAAATCTCACAAGAAGTATTCTTTATACATATTAAGTGTGAGATTTGGGCGGCCACAACAGTCCTTTCTGAAAAGGAATCACCCTCACTTGTAAAGAGATGAAGTCGGCCCTCTTGTACTCCGACCACAAGATGTACAGGAAGCTCAGGATCGGGACCGACATCGGGAAGCTGAAGATCTTTCTTACCGATCAAGGGCGGCACATTCTACTCCAGCAGCTACGCGGGAGGAGGGATTGAATTTCGATTGCCGACCGAAACCCATCGAAACCGAGTCTGCTTAGAGAAGTGGGAGAATGATTACAGCTACTACTTCAACAAGGCCTTGCGACACCACATCGGACGAAAAGAAGTATGGGAGAAGACATACGGTGGCAGAAAGACAATGTTCTCCGGACTCAAGTGTGATGAAGCCGGATGGGTAGACATTATGGACTTCCTGCACCACCCGTGGATCTTCGAACATGAGAACATCCGACTTGAGGATGACGGACTCATTGACGTCGATTTCCGAGAAGAGCGCGTCAACACAATGATCAAGACAGTTTGGTCAGAGTTCCAGGAGAAGAACAAGATCCGCATCCAGTTCCTGTGCATCGTCTTGATTTCAACATTCGACAAGCCCGACGAGTACCTCAGGGATGTCATGAAGGTTGGTGACGACATTCACCAACTCATTGCTCAAGAGGTGTTTCTAGCGCCGATTGCAGTGCGCTCACCTGGAGGATTCTCTGCCCAAGGGCAAGACTTTCGCCTTGACTACAGCAGGATCTGTCACCCGATCACCACCAAGCTGGCAGATGACTTTCATTTTTGCTACCACGTGACCGAGTTCAAGAACGTGAACGGCATCATCAAAGAAGGTCTCCGACCAGGAGGTCACAAAGGAGGACGAACACAAGTGTTTCTCAATCCATTTGCACCATGGGATGAACGGTACAAGAAGATTCTAGTTCTAGGGGGTCAATTGGCCCAATGGTCAATGCATCCGGCCAGATGGTGGTCAATGGGAACATCCCGTTCTCTGAGGTGATCGCAGCTTGGTATCAGGCCAACAACTATGATTGGGAACGACTACTCGTTGATTCCGGGAAATTCCAATTGGTGAGATCTTGTCAGGAGCCGAAGGAGATTGCTACAGCAAACACAGTTTTGCGGGTCTCCAAAGCTATGCTGAACGAGATCGACACCGAGGACGACATTCCGTTCTACGACGAGTTCGTCCAGGACGTTGAGAAGCTTGAGAAAGCTAACGGGGTGTTGGACCCCCGGGACGAATTGAGAAACAGAATTGTGACGTTCATCGCCGAGAATTACACTCCGAGGGAAGCCGGACACACCATATGTCCTGCATGCCTTACCGAGACTCCAAACATCCTGTCCATCTGTATTCGATGTCATGGATCATTAGTCAGCTGGGGGGAGAAATCAGCTACACATGATGAGAGTGCAGCCCAAGGTATGCCAGAACGTGAACGCCAGAAGAGCGGTGATGGTGCCGAAGACGATGATGGAGATGTCGAGATGGAGAAGGATGAGATTGATCGGCTAGTCAGAGAAACCAAGAAGATGGCCGAGGAGAAATCCGATGAAGACGTGGACATGTCCGAATCAAGGCCAAGCCGACCACAAACTGGATCAGGAAGCGGACGTGAACAATCAGCACCAGATCCCAAAGTAGCTTTCGGCAACAACACAAAAGAACAACAGGAAGAAGAAGATGAACGAGTCCCCCAGGAACAAGAACGAGATTAGGAACAAAGGGAAGCTAAGATCAGGCTGTCCCTGTGGACGACAAGGACAATTCAAGGATCCGTTATCCATTGCATCGACACCGCCCAGAACGAGGACGCTATCGACAGCACGGCAAGCGCGATGGACGCCATGATCCTCACCTATTTGAAGGACCGATATAAGCGCTATTTCATGCTTGGACTTCAATGGCTTCAGCGCAAGCGTACTACGACCATGTGAAGAACATCAAGCTTCTTCCTGAGTTCGATGGATATATTCCTTACGTTGGCGAAGATGCTAAAGGTGAACTAAGGGTACCCACCGAAGATGAGCTCAAGGAGTCATTCAAGATCAACGCGAAGAATGGCAAGGTTGGCGGTAGGGACCTTGAAGTTTATTTGAAGGGGGTCAACGGCATAAAGGTTCTTTGTAAGATCATGAAGTACCTCGTCCAGACAGGAGTTACACCTCAACTCATCTATTCGAAAGTTGTCGACAACGCCGATGGAGATGAAGAACGACGATTAGAAATCCGGCGAGATGCGGCAGAGTTCATGCGCAAGCCGCAAGATC